ATAACAAAAAGTTGTGTGTCTGATTGGTCCAAATGCTACACCAGTTTCTCTTGCTGGGCCGGAGTCAGTGGCTGTCCCTCCCTGGATCCCTTCCATCACTGGCTTCCCTTTATTCAACTCCAGGGCCAGCTCCTCTGCTGTGGTGAAGTCTTGGTTTGGAGGGCCACCCCCCGTGCCAGATACATGAGCCTTTTTTTAATGCTGAAATCAATACACACAATAAAATATGTCAGCAGACACTATTCACCTAATTTGTAAAAAAAAAAAAAATCACCCATCAAGTCACTTACCAGCCTGCAAAATGTTCTTGTACTTAATCTTGACTTGCTGCCAGGTCCTTTTTTGGCCAGACATGCTTGTGAAATCAATACACACAATAAAATATGTCAGCAGACACTATTCACCTAATTTGTAAAAAAAAAAAAAATCACCCATCAAGTCACTTACCAGCCTGCAAAATGTTGCATGAGTAACATGCATGTCCACTGGTCACATTTAAGGCAAAGTGTACAACTGTTAATTTGTGGAAATGACAAATAACTCCTTGAATTGTAATTATGATGGCTTCAGTGGAGCACTGGTTATTTGGACTACTTACGCATTCAATCGGTCCGCTATTGTCTGCCAGGCGTTTTCTCTTTGTTTTATTATAGCAGCTGTATTTCCCTTTTTACATATTATAGGTTTCACCTCTATATATGTTTCCATTAGAAGCTGTTGCTCAGTTGACAAGAAGTATGCCGCACAGGTTTTATCCATTTTTGCATAATTGATTCTGTGATCGATCCCGTGGTCTGTTTAAGAATGCCGTGAACGTGCACTTATCCCAACTATATACACCTGGCTTGACATAGATGCACATTCTCATCCTGGCTCAGCAAACGTGCAACGGACTAAGCCAGAATGCGCTGAACTAGGTCAAGCCATGCCTTTTCTGTTATCCTGGCTTTCTTAATTCTACTTTTGAGCAATGCCCCTCAGGGGCGTGACAGTATGTTTATGTGCTGTGTCCATCAAATAAATTATTTTTTTTAAGTTGTACTTACTCGCCCAATCTTGCTGAACTGCTAAAAGGAAATTCAATAAGAGATTTCAGATTAAACCTACAAAACAAATACATAATAATAAAAAAACAATAAATTTATCAGACACAAATGACAAGTTTTACAGCTTAGTTAATTATTTAAAATTGGGATGTCATATCTGGGTTCTTTCTGGCTGATGGTCACGGACAGGAGGCAGAACAACCGGGTGTTGAGACAAAAGGATTTTATAGTCCAGCCACCACAGGCTGGCAGATATAGTGTCAGTCGCCAGGAATATGCCTTGGCAGCGTTCAAGAAATTAAATATCACTAACTGTGACGCTGTGACAATACAGCAATACATAAGAATACACAAAGACTTTTCTTTGGACTGGAGTTGAGTTCATAAACACACACATAATTAAACACAATATTGATATGTATCATCCACATGCTGGATATACCCTCTTAAAATAGTTCCTTGATGGGTAACAACCCAAAAATGGAGCGCAAGTCTCTTCTTGCAGACAACAGGGGAAAACAATGCTGAATGAAAATGATTAAATGTATCTCTATTGTAAGTAGTGAGGTTATTGTCAATATCCCATATAAGTGGTTGTCTTCCGATTTAACATTGCTTTTATCAATAGACAGTGTGTTCAATCATACTCTCTGAAGGTATTTTCTTGTGGTGTTTGGCACTATGGTACTTTTTAAAATTATTATTAGTGGCAAGTTATTTATGACTTTATTCATTAGTTCACAAAACTAGTATTATTTTTTTCTTATCTCATTTGGGTCACATATACGAAGAGTATATCAAACTTAAAAACAATCCCATGGCAATACGTAAGTATTTTACAAATTGGTGAGTAGGTTATAAATTCAAATGAATGCATACAATCTCCTTTGTAGTTTTTATTTATTTTTTTATTTTTTTATGATCTGCTAACGCTCCTTCAAATATTTATGTTGTATGTCATATGTTTCGGTATGAGTCAGATCATACGAAATCACATACTCATACAATGCATACAAATTCCACCTAGGTTGAGCAAATTTTTATTAAAAAATATTCACTTCAATGAATATGGTTTCAAACGTCAATTCCATCTACTGAATCATTATTGGTATTACATGCGGCAGACATTTTGTTTTTCTGGTGCTGCTTGCTAACAGGAACTACTTAAAATTAAGGAGATTGTTAGAAAAATGTTTTCACAAATAAGTACTAATATAATAATTATGTCAGTCGGAACATAATACATTAGCTTGTTATTTAAAGGTAACTTTTAAAGGTATTTCTGTTCAAAATTAATTTCAATCAAAATGACTATTTTGAAAAAAATAAATAGAACATAAGTTATAAACATAAAATGGTATTTGTGTGTAGTGAATTGTTGATTTTTCAATAAATCACAGAATAATGTCAATTAAAACAATGTCTCAAGATGCCTCTGTATTTAAAAAAAAAAAAGCATTTCAAAGCATTGAAAAACGCTTTCATATTTAAAGACAAAGTGACTTTGTTTTCACTTGCTCAACTCAGATAATGAGTTTGCAGAAAGTTGTGCAGTGCCAATGACAATCCACATGCGTGTTCCGCACATTTCTAAAGTTATACCTGAGCAGGAAGTGATCAACGTAATGGTCAAATGTCTGCAATATATAAAAAGCAACAATTTCTACTCAACCAGCAAATGCATTACTGTACTTCACTGAGAATGCAAGAAACCATTAGTAGAGGCAACCATTTACGACGCTCCTCTTCATAAGCTTAATTGTTGCATTCTATAATTGCCATTATGAAAGAGCGTGTTTGCAAAAGAAAGAAAACAATAAGTGAAAGCAGAAAAATGACCTTGCTGACACACTGACACTAGTCCAGGCCAGGTGCTTCAGCTATTTATTCTGAAACGTGATCCCAACACAGTTATGTAGAACTTGCTCACCACTATTATTATAGTATCCGTCTCAATATTTACTGATGGTTCAGTGCATCACTGCCTTTTAACAACTGTCAAACATGAAACCACATGTTGTACAGACTTGTATTTACTTAACACAGAAAACAAAACAATAACAGGTTTTGTTTCACATAACCTGGAAAATTTACATCAGGTTTATCAGCAACTCTGTTTAGTCACTGTGGTAATGTTCAGATGTGTGTGTGTGGAAAGGAAGAAGGCAGGGTCGGTTACGGAGACTCGTGTTATTTATTCAGTTCAACAATTAACAAAAAGCATGTGCCCTAGCGCTTCCAGCTCTAACAAAAAGTATTCATAACACGTTGCACAACAGCATTTCTCAGTCTCTTTCGGCCATGAGACGTCCGTCCAGCATCTCTCACTCTCTCTCTTGTTCCTGGCGGCTTTATCCGGTCTCTCCACGTCAATTCCAGTAGCTGTTCGCATTAAATTCAAGGCATTAATGTTTGCCTACAAAACCACCACTGGCTCTGCACCCATTTACCTAAATTCATTACTTCAGAGTTATGTGCCCTCTAGAAGCTTGCGTTCTGCAAGTGAACGGCGTATTATTGTGCCATCTCAAAGAGGCACAAAATATACACCTTGCTACATGTACTGCTTTAGGCTAACCGAGACTTGTCATTTGCACTTATATATTGTTGCTCTTTTG